AACAAACAGAAAGGGATGGAAAATACCCCCAGAAATAGATTGCATAATGCTTTATGAACCTTGAACATTCTTAACACTAGTGAGAAAGAAACAACAGCAGCAGAGAGGCATTGGATAATGGAAAAAACTTCTGAATTGAAGCAACCAGTATATTTCAAGGATGTGTTGACTTCACAATGAAAGCCAGGAGATGTACTACATTGAGGAACGGGTTTTGCTCTTATTTCCACAGGAGAAGAAAAATTATAGATACCATCAAAATTAATAGATTTGCTTTGAAAAGGAGAAATCCATTGAAACAGAGAAATGACAGCTCATCCACAATGGTGACAACCACATAGGTGGTAGGGAAAGCCATATAGGGTTGGGGCAGGGTTCTGCTCTTATCTTTGCAGGAAAATACACATCATCAAATATGCAATAGACCCTGAATGTTTGAATGCTGACAGAAGAAAAAAATAACTATCCACTAAGGAGCATCCAGAAAACAGAATATGGTTTATGAATCCAGGTATGGGTTACACTTACATTAACACACGCATACACACACGCGCAATGGCTCTGTACTTCTCTAAATCCAATCCTTTGTTAAAAGGAACATTCAGAGTTTCTGTCTCATATCGGGAGCCATCTGGTATGGGACAGAAGAAAGACTTTAGGAAAAATTTTTACTTTCTCCATGCCCTTTTTGTCTGTATCACATTCTTCATAGAATGTGTGTATATATGAATGATGTTTAAGTTTTTCGTGATGAACAATAGATTTTCCTATAGATCCTTTCCCTGCATTAATCTTTGAAGTTTCCAGGAAGGAGATGGGACCCCCACAGCAACAACTCTACCTAGCTGAGATGATATCGTGATGCAGACAGTGCTACTATAAGACCGCTTCTCTTTTGGGGGAGGTACCAACTGCTGAAATGGTGCACCTTCTCATGACATTCTGGCCAGAACTCCAAATAAGAACTTTGAAAAAAAAAAAACCTATCTATTGACTGCTCAGAAATTTTTTTATAACTATACTAGACAGTAATTTTGAAACTTAACCATCACTTTAATTTTGTAGGATCCCATTAAGAGAACATCATCCCCATGACAGTGGGAAGCAATTCTAGAAGACGATGCCCCCATCCCAAAAATGTTTGTCCATAGGGTTAGGAACACTGTTTAGGGGTTGTTGATTGTTACTTGCATTAGATAGAGGGTTGGGGTGAAAACTATGTTTGTTAAAAAAGGGGGGGGGGAGATGGTAATAGTGGGTAATAGAGTGAATACTTGTGAGCTATTATTCATGGATAATTTACATTGGTATAGTTTTTGTATATTGATACAAGTTCAAATTATATTTGTTACTTTCGTTTATATTATTTGTATACCTATACAAAATTATTTTGCCATATTGTATGTATGTATGTTATTATCTCTGTTTAGGACATTTTGTATATTGATAAAACTTTTAGGATAT